CCTCATTTACGTCTTTCTGCTCAGAGCCAGTGAGTACAGACAAAAATGGCATCGAGGATCCGTCTATTTCCGTTTCTAAGTAATATTTAAGTAAAAAGCAGCTTTGTGCATTTAATATTTGAACAGAATTTTATCATTATTCTTGTTTTATTTTGAAACAAACGCTGAATCAAAATGCACAATATGTTCATTTTAGGCAGAATAGTATATGCAGATAAATTACTAATGTTTTCAGCATTTGTTGCTGTTATGATTTTACATTCACAGCTAATGAAAACATGTCATTTAAGATTAAAATATTAAATCAAGCAACTGTTAAAGTGCTAAAAGAAATTAACACAGAAATATTTAATACCAGATTAAAAGTTGTTTTCAAAAAGGCACTTTAAATCTAACAAATGAGCCTCATCAGAACAAATATCTGGTTTCTTGAATATAATTTGGTGTGGGCATTTTTTTTTTCATGTGTACTATTCGTAAACGTAATTTGAATGCATTGCATCAGAAATATAAGAAGTTTCCTAATGTTGCTTTCAAGCAGTCCTTTGCAATTGTGAAATTACACACTTAACTTGGAATTTGTTATATTGTGCAGGTGTGTTTCCATCATTCTGATATTTGTAGACCAACACAACTGATATTTTTTTTTCTTGACTAAAATACGTCAAATAAGGCAAATCTATTATTCTCATGAGCAAAGAACCACTTTCGTACTTTTTCGGCTGCCAATTGGTTGGCAGGGTGCAGCATCAGGTGGGATTGGGGTCGCCTCACATTACTCTTTGCTGCACAAAGCTGGTAAAGCTCTCTTCATTCTCCTCCTGTTATCTCATTACAAAGGTTTTAAGCCACAGGAGCAGCAGTTTTGAAACTAACATTTTAATAGCTTTGTGTTTTTGACAGCAGTAACCAACCCAACCTAAATCCAGAGAAGCACTATTCCTGCCAGATATCTTTCATTAATGATGGATGGAGTCTGTGTGCTGCGTAGTTCTTCTCCAGAGTATGTCATGCTTTTATATTTTGTCGTTTTTGTTTATGCTTTATGCTTCTTGTGTTCACAGCCCCATATGTGTTAAAGAAACTGGACAGCATATGAGTCAAGTTCCCTGGTCCATGCATCCATCCACAGTTTTCTACATCAGAGACGGTGAGGACCTCCTCATGAAGCCAGCTCGGCCTGATCCTGGATCTCTGGAAAACCACCAATATTTTTCCTTGGCTTCATCTGAGACTCTTGCTGTTTTCATGTTCAGTTTGTGAACTTTAGTCTTATTTTTTAAGTTTAAACAATATGTAGGCTTTGTCTTTTAGTCATGTGTCTACCAGTGTGATTATTCAACAAATAAATTATTTCTTTATTTGATTTTGTCAGTTTAAAAGTGTGAAATTAATTATTGCAGTTATGTAATACTGAATAGAATTTACTCTTTCTTGGACTGAATTTACACTGTGCTTTCCTTGTTTTACTGACCGGGCATACATTTTCATAATGTCCCCTAGGAAGTTGCATTTGCAGTGCACACTAAATAGCCACCAAACTGATTCCGGTTGGATATTAAACACTGTTTCTGTTAGGTTTAGTAGAGTTCATTTAAATTAGATTGGGGGTTTTTCCACACACCCAGTTTCAAAGCATAGATCATGAAGTAAGGATCATTCTACAAGCTCAGTTTTGTGTAATCCATTTAATAAACTTCTGTGTGTTTGCGATCATTTGCCCATTGGTGTGAAAGGTTCACCACTCTAACCTAAATTGTCATCTTCATAAGAAAGAGCATTGTTTAGGATGTTCAGAAAGTACCAGAGCTCAAGTCTGACAAACTGGAAGATCCCAAAATATTGGCACCCACAGTTAACCAACCCAGTTTATTAGAAACATGGATTGAGAAGGTGCCAAACAAGAAAAAAAAAACACCTACTTCAAGATTGACATTTGCCGATGCCCATATAGACAACCAAATATCTGCTGATGAAGTTTTATGGTGAAATAAATTATTCTTCCATTTATTTGATAGCAAAACTGGCACCATAAAACTGGTTTTATGGTTCAATCATTTCTCATAAAGACAACCTATTTATGGCCAGATTTACTCCTCGTTGGAAGATACACAAATCTGCTGACTTCTTTGAAACTTATAAAGGGTCATATATTCAAATATTACTGTAGATTTTTGCAAATATATTGTGCTTGAACACACAAGTTTAAGAATTTCACAGTTTTATCATTTTATATTTCTTGAGTTTGATCTTGTTTCTTCTACTTGTCGATTTTTAATCTTATTTATTTTTACTTTTTTGGGGGGCCATTTGAAAGTTGATTTCTTTTACCCGATGTTGCACTTCCCCACGTTCACCACTTGGTGGCGGTGTTAGCTGAAAGTCAATGAGTGAGACCGCAAAGGGACTGGAGGCTCAGACAATGGATGCGATCATCTGAGCGCTCAGATTAAGTAGCGATGTAATCACAAAGAGGCATGGGACTGGACATAAACCGAATGTTTCGGCAGCAGCGACAGAAAGAAATGTGCTGACATTGACTTTTTCCGTATTTTTTATTTTTTGGGGGAGGTAAAACTCGCGCCCGCACCGCATCCCTCCGTGTGATTGTTGATCCAGGCCCGCCCATACGCCACAGCATCTCCGGGAAAACCGAGGACAATCCTCACCTATTTATTACAAGACAGGAAGGTGAGTCTGCTGAGGAAGCAGCATCAAGATGAGAGGTGGACAATATTAGTAACCTGTGTGCAAATATGGTTTCTATAACGCAACGGATGCTCGAATATTCGTAATTAAGAAGCTCCACTTGCTGTGATGGACTTTCCGGGACATTTCCAGCATCTTTTCAAACAGCTCAACCACCAGCGCCTGCACGGCCAACTATGTGACTGTGTGGTGGTGGTTGGAGGTCAGAGCTTCCATGCCCACTGCTCCATCCTGGCTGCCAGCAGCTCTCACTTCAGGGCTCTCCTCAGCTCCATTGATGAGGGCTCGGGGGCTCAGGGAGAAAGATCCCGCCATGTGATGGAGCTGGATCCCGAGGTTGTGACACCAGAGGCCTTCTCCACCCTCCTGGACATGATCTACACCTCCACCCTCTCCTTAGGAGCCTCCAATGAGATGGACGTGTTGTTGGCTGCATCCCATCTCCACCTCAACGCCGTGGTCAAAGCCTGCAAACTGCACTTGTCCAGGAAAAACTTTCCTGCCTCAGCACCTAAAGGCTGGAGGTCAGTGCAGCAGCAGCAGCTGCAGCAAAGTCTGTGCTCCCAGGTGGCGACCGTGCCACAGCATCTTGTAACCTCAGCCACAGAGGAAGACTCTGAGATGGAAGACATGGGAATGGAGGTGAGTCAGTCTGGAGAGGATGAAAGCCAAGGCATGGAGAAGAGTGAACAATTCACAGCTCCGTCTTTAAGGCAAAAACGCAAGTCAGATGAGGAGCTCCTTGGTGTCAAGAAGAGGATGTTTAACTACAAAGAGTGTTCACCTACTGTGACCAGGAGCACAGAGGAAGGAGGAGAAGATCTGTCATCATCAGGCTGCCAGAAGACGATCGGCAGGCAATGGGACAACCGAGGTGATGATGAAGACGAGGAGGAAGAGAAATATGAGGCAACCAAGGGGGAGTTGGAAGAAATCCAGCTGCCGACTCAGTCAGACAGCAGCACAGGAGGGGCAGGAGTGTGGAAAAAGGCTGAAGATACAGATGGAGACACTGGGGTTAAAGTTCAAGTTGGAGAAGAGGAGCAGGATGAACCAAAGATACTGATTGAGGTGAAAATGGAAAATATGGGCTCCTACTCCAACGACTTAGAGACAATGCCAAACAACTCTCCTCCATCGCCACTAGAGGCGCAAATTGGTGATGAAAAGATTAACATGACCGACCCAGCAGAGGCTGATGGCGTAACGTTATCATCACAGCTGTGCACAGATGTTCACACAGATACGTTGACGGGGTCTGGGGACCTGGGTGGGGACACAGTGGACGGTGAAGGCCTGGACAGCTTCTCTGAACTAGCCTTTTCCTGCTTTCTCAATCCCAGCAGTGAAAGTGTAATGGGCGCTTTGGGAGAAGAAGATACTCTAGCTAGTCTGACAGCTGCTGCTACTGCTGCTGCTGCTGCTGCCAGTGATGCTCCCACAGTTCCCGAAGATGCAACGACACAGAATCAAATGCCAGACGAAGCAAGTACGTCTTCTGTCCAGCCTTCTGACTCTTCGTCATCTCTTGTTTTTCCAGTAACTCCTGTCCCTTTGCAGCAGATTCTCCCAACTCAGAGCTCTGGATTCAGTGATACAATCATCCTCCAACCCAATCAGAACTCCTTGGCAGGGTTCTTGAGCGGCATCAGACCTAGTCTCAGTCTGGACGCATCGCTCGTCCAACCCTCGAGGGCCGGGAAAAGCTCTGGGGCTCCGACTTTCCGTCGCATCGCCCCCAAAGTATTGCCTGGATCGGAGTCTTGCACAGACACTCCCTCTGGAACAGCAGGTGATGGTGCAGATAGGCCAAGCCTGACTAGAGCTTCTGAGGATGTACTCTCGAAGTGCAAGAAAGCAGCTGCCGAGGACCACGTGCTGCTGGTGGAAGGTGAAAAGAAATATGCCTGCAAGATCTGCTGCAAGACCTTCATGAACCTGACGGACTGTAAGAAGCACATTCGCGTCCACACTGGAGAGAAGCCCTATCCCTGTCCAAAGTGCGGCAAGCGCTTCAGCCAGTCCTCCCACCTCTATAAACACTCAAAAAACACCTGCGTGAACTTTAAGGATGATCAGGCCTTCTCAGACTCTCTGCTTTAATCTGTGCAAAAAACACAACCTGGTCGAAATCATGAACAATCATAAAATTCTTAAATTTATAAATTCATGTATTTTCCTGTCCTACACTGTATGATTTCCTATTGTGGTTCATATAAATTAAGGCAATGATGTAAAAATGCTATGAAGACATTATAACTCAGGCCAGAAGAAGTGAAAAAAAAAGAAACTGAAAGTAGAAATGTTGTATTTGGTCTTCTTTTAATTCTATGACTCAATTAGATGGTAAAGCACCAATTTTGTACATCTAAATGACAGTTAAGTTCTTTTCTTCACTCTTAATGCAGAGCAGAAGTGTTTTTCTGTGTAGTAAGTGCAGATCTGCAACATCAATGTCTGAATAAAGTACTGATCACCATGTACAATGCTCATTTTTGTAAGAAACTCATTTTAACAAGAGAGTAAAACATCTTTTCTATATTATTTCAGATGGTGTTTTGAAAGATCTGTACTATTAAAAAAAAAAGAATAGTAAGACTCTGACTAGACACAGAGGGTGTGGTTAATCTTCTTTCGAAGAACTTTACTACATGTACTACTAGGATGATCAAATCCAACTCTCAAGGTGCTAGAACATGTCGAGACTGCATTAGCACTCCCACAACTATTTTCTACCTCACTGTACTGTTTTCATTTCATCTTCCTGAAGCAGCAGTAGGCACAGCGGTTCCTCTTCAAAAGCGGAGTTCGCTCGGCATGTCCGAGTCCTGCAAACCTCCCAGCAGGTTCTGAGCAGTCAGTGCTGACATGACGCCTCTGGTGGAGTAAGTGGCGCTGCCTATGTGAGGTAACACAACTGCGCAAAGAAAAGGGGACAGAAAAATGAAGGCCAATCATTTGCATTTTTGCTTATAAATGTAGGACACAACTGCAAACCATAAACTCCAGTGCATTTTGTGGAGATTTTATTTGACTGACCAACACAAAGTAGTGCAGAATTGTGAAGTGGAAATAAAATTATTTATTTATGCCAATTTAAAAAATCTTTACAATAAAAATCTGAAAAGTGTAGCAGATATGCATTCAGCCTGCCTGATTCAATAACTAAATAGAAGCGCCTTTGCTGCAATTACGGCTGCAGGCCTTACAGCTCAAACTCAGGCAGACTGTACAAAGCATTTACGCAAATCAATTTTTAAATAAGATATATTTAGATTTAGGTCAAGGTGATGTGCAGTGTTCATTTTTCCCACATAAGAGTGTGCAATCCCTTGTGCTGCTGTATCACCTTAAAACCCATAAAAATGCATTGAAATTTGTGGTGACAAAATGTGAAAAAGTTCCCGTGGCATAAATACTGTTGTACTTACCACAGTTTTTCAGGGTAAGAAGCGGGTGGTTTGTTGGGAGAGGCTCAGGTGTTGTAACATCCAGTCCGGCTGCAGCTATCTGTCCGCTCTTTAGAGCCTCATGCAGGTCTTCCTGGTTCACCACAGCTCCTCTAGAACAAAAAAGTCATTACTTCGCCATCCTAATGTATCAAAGCAGCAGCAAAGATAACAGAGGGCGGTCTGCATCTACAAGCCTGGCCCTCCTGTACAGTCTTTAAATGTCTACCTGCTTGAGTTGATGAACACTGCAGTTTTTTTCATCTTGCTGAAAAATGCCTTGTCACACAGGCCCTGAGTTTCTGGTGTCAGTGAGCAGGAAACCACAACGAAATCACTCTCTGACACAAGCGTGTCCAGGGGAACTGCTCAACAAAGAGGAGACGGAAATAAATGTAAAACGCAGATGATCGAATGCACACTTTCACTATGTATCGTTTCCAGTGGTTTTCTTACCAAACTCTCCATTCACTTCTGCGGCGTGGGCTTTGGCCGTCCTTCCGGTATACAACAGTCTCTTAACCCCAAAAGAAAGGAGTCTCTTAGCTATGGCCATACCTGGTCACAAATATTCAAGGAAAAGTCTCACGTTTACAAGATCAAGTCATACAACACCATGTTATTTGGATCGCACGGAATCTGTCACGTAGATCTCGAGCTTCCAAGCAGCAACAGGAAAACAAACCAATGCGTCCCAGTCCAATGACTCCCACAGTGCTGCCCGACAGGCCGTAACCGCACAACCAGAGAGGTTTCCATGAGCTCCAGCCACCACTAAGACAAGAAAAAAAACACCTCGATGTAGTGAGAATGTAAATTCAAACAGTTGCTGCCATTTTGGGTTAAATAGTAACAGAATCACTAATAAGAAAAGCAATTAGTATAAATGAGTAACCCAGTGAGGCTAACTTTTTGACCTCCTCCACTCCCTCTGGTAACCGGCGAGCAGTGGCCAGGAGGAGAGCCACGGTCAACTCTGCGGTGGCGTCAGTCAGGACATCCGGAGTGTATCCGACACGTATGCCGCTGTTAAAAAGGGGTGGGGGGGAAAGTTTTATAGCTGTGAAAGCATGAAACATTTCCTATCAGTATATCGGTTTCATTTACTGAAGCTCACCGCTTTTTGATCTCATCTAGAGCCAAGTGGTCGAAGCCCACAGACATTGTGCTGATTACTTTCAGGTTTGGTCCTAAAATCAGAGAGGGAGCGACTGAAATGTTGTGCAGACTTTGTTTTAACACTCGATCAGAGAAAAAAAAAAGACTAAATTCTTCAAGAAGTTACAGTGTCTTGTGGGTGTACTCATAGCCCTATATGGCTTTTTTGGGGGGAGGTCTGAAATGAAGCAGCGCACAACTGTGAAGTGGAAGGAAGAGAAAACATGATTTCAAAAGTTTTTTTGTTTCTAATCTAAAAAAGTGTCATGCATTTGCATAGATCTGCTCGGATGCCGCCGAATAAAACACAGCGCAACCAGTTCCTACACGGCTGGAAACTAACGCTGCACATCGCTGTGAAAACATCGCCCACACTGTGAAACATGGAAGTGGCAGAATCATGCAATGGGAATGTTTTTCTTAAACATTCACACCACATTTTTGTTTGGAAATCCTGGTAAAAAACAAGTTTCTTTTTCCTGCCACTTTGTGTTGCTCAGTACTTATAATTCATTTAAGTACGTTGGGGTTTGCGGCTGTAACATGGTGAATAGTTTGAACTGTATGGACACTTTTTCAAGGCAATGTAAATGAAACAGAGTTACTGACATCCGGCACTGTGATAAACTAACCAAAAGAGTTTAAGGAAATGAACAATGCAGTTTTATTTTTGAAGAAAAAAAATCTATAAGTTGTTGTATATCAGAAACATTAAATCTTTTTTTTTTTTTTTGCATTGATTGTTCTCTTAATGTTTTAGTCAGATTTTTTCACCAATTCTCAGCAACAACCACATGGGTCACTCTCAGTTTAGTCATATTTAGCTATGTCCAGGTGCACTAGTTTTGCTTTCGAGTAAAAGCAAAAAACATATAATAGCAATAAAAGACATCTTTTGTGGTTTAAAACATTTAAAGAGCTACAAAGAATCCGTAGGAGGTACTGTGGGTATCATGCCACACAAATGCATTATTCTAAGATGCATGTGGACAGTTGCTTAGATCAGGTAAAAGAGGAGGACTGCATGGTCTTGCCGTCAGAGCGACGCCTACCTGCAGCATCCAGAACCTCAGCATCGATCTTGTCTGACAGCAAACACAGAAGACCATGAGCTCCCTGGACTGCTTTAAGAAGCTCTGCCCTCGGGACAGGCTCATCTGAGTCCCACTGGGACACCTCACATCTGTTTGCGTGGAGACAGATAAAGAAAAAAAATGACAATGGGATTTGTTTGTCACTATCATAAACTAAAAGAGCACAATGAGTTGTCAGTGGAGGATCGTATGACAGCACTGCAAACTTGTTGACCTTTCATGTGACTTGGGGTCAAATGATCTCAACGCACATGAGCGCTGGCTAGCAGGTTTTGAGTTTATTATGCTGCTTATTCATCGAGACTGCTGTAAAACTCTTCTTACACTCCGGTCGCTCCTGAAAGGATCTTCATTCCCTCCTGAGGGATGCGCCTCGTTATGAAAACCTTCATCACTTCCCTCACTGCTCTCATCACAGTTCAGCGACACGGGCTGTCTGAACTCTCCGTCGGGTAGAAAACGACCGACTGTTGCAGCTTTAAAACCATTCAACCTTCAGTCAGCTGCGCCACTTCTTCTGTAAGAGGCACGACACAGGAAGTGCCTAATTTTATGCCGAGTGCGCATGCGCAGAGTCTTTGACCCCTATCCCCCGTGGCAGCAAATCGCTTCCACTTCAGATCAGTGTGTGAAGTTTGTGAGAAGAAGAAGAAGACGAAGAAAAAAGACAGAACCTCTTGATTATTATAGAAAATGCTGCTAATGTTTTATGAGCTCAAAATGTTCTGTCTTGCACAGAAACATAACATCCAAACAGAAATCAAACATAGACACTCAGTAGGCTTAGGCTACCTGTAGATTACAGCAAGTTAAAGGCGTTGTTTCATATAAACATAATTGGCTATTTTATACTTATAGATAGTTGGAATGAAAAGTACATATTTATGTCTTTCTTACTTTTAAATATGCCTTTGATTGTTTGATCGTTTTTTTAAAATTATTATTTCATATTGCAGATTTCTGCATTAGTTCCCATTGGTCACCAGGTTTTTTAAAAAATAATTCTGTACCTTTTATTTTTTGGAATAATAATAATAATAATAATAATAATAATAATAATAATAATAATAATAATAATAATAATAATAATACGGGTCATCTGCGTTAATATAAATGCTATATCGTTCTTGTGTACTTTTGCTGTTAGTAAGTTCCTTATTATTCACGCCTTTTCCTATATGAAGCACAATGGTGGCAGCATCATGCTGAGGATATATCGCTATCAAATCTGGCAGATTGCAAAGCACCGACACAAAGCAGTCAGAGGGACACTGACCACAATATTTGCGGCTATGACAGATGGTCCCATTGGGCTAAATAATACAACCTAAATCACGTTGGATTTTTATTTCCAGGAAAGACATTTTGAAAAACACATTTTTTCCCCCCAATGTCTGAAACATAAAAATGCCATCAAGATAGATGGGAGTTTGTTCATGAGGGCTTGAAAGATTCCTTCCACTCAACATCTGAATCGTCTGTGTGAATAAAGTGACTGTCAAAAGGGTTAATTATTTTTAAAGGCTTCCTGTGAGTGGCGTCACCTCCTCCTCCTCCTCCTCCTCCTCCGTCTCCTCCTCCTCCTGCCCGGCGGAGCAGCGGCCGCTCGCTCGGCTGTAAATGGTCTGTCGACGGCAGCAGAGGGCGGAATAAGGAGCTCTGGGTACGGAAGACGCACCCAGACGCCCAAAACAGGAAATTAGAGCGGAGGGCCCAGTCTGGAAAGGTAAGGATATCGACGTATTTCTCGCCACGGGTTCCCATTGCCGCTGCCTTTGGAAGAGCGCGCGCAGCCCCGGCAGCAGGAAAGCCTGGTTCTGGGTCGGCTCGGTCCGCTTGCAGCTGGTTCACGGATTCCGCTGCGTGTTTGTTCTGCTGCTGCGACGAACCCCGGAGTTCCTTGGAGCGCACCTGTTCACCAAAGTGTTGACTTGCGAAATGTCAGCAATACAAAATGAGTATATTTATCAGCAGGACCGGGACTTTAAAAACCCCGTAATTTCTGCCGTGCGTTGCAGGCGCTGCTGCTGTTCATGCAGTGATGGGCAGCAGACCACAGTACACACTGTGCTTTGCATGAATAACGGGGACAGCTGGCCAGGAACTTCTGTATTTATTGTCATCTGTTGATATAGCTGCCCAGTTATTGTCATCCTCCGATATTACTCACTCTTCTTCTTATCCAGACTACTTTAAGTGAACTTAAAGTAGTCTGTAGTCTTAAAGTAGTAGTAATCATTTATTTCTACTTCCCTTTACTTGTAAAATGTTATTCTTAGGCTATTGTTAACCTTTCGCCCATTGGTTGAAAAGTTGTATATAAGTGAATTAGTTGCATTGCAATCATCATTGCACTGGACTGCAGCATTTGCAGTGCATTATATTAGGTGCAAATATTATGCTTTAGTGGCTCATAGCAACTGGTAAAATTGCAGATGTTTAACAATACTTTAGCAATCATTTGTTTTTCTAAAGGTACAGCTCCAAATTGATCAAACTATTCATTTTCTTATTTAAAAGCTGATCCTAAACCCATCAAACCTTTTCTGGACACTCAGCCAGAAAGGTCCAGTGAGCATAAAGGTTTTTGTTTTTTTTGCTGATACCAACTTCTGATTTTCTTTCACCTACCAATTCTGATTTTGACTGATTCTTATCAGTATTTAAGCTATAGAGAAGCTATTCTCTTGACAGGCTCTCTGTCAAGAGAAGCTACCTTTTCTTGATAGAGAAGGTAACTTTCAGTCTAACACAAATGTAAAGATTCACAAAATTATCCCCATTTGTGAGTCAAGCTAAAAAGAAACAGTTCTAATCATCACTGACTGATTGATTGTATCTTCATTATCCTCTCTTAGCAAGTAAAGCCTGGTGGCCCGCCAGACTTATAATACACTGCGGGAAACCCTGAAAGATCATCCTCAGGTCAGTTCTGCTAACTTATAATGTCCCTTCTGTCACAGCTGTTACACAACCCCAAAGCATCAAAGAACCAACACCATGCTCGTACAATCAGTGTCATCAAACGGGTAGTTTTTATTTCTCATAATATAGAAATGCTTATTTAACCCTTTTTTTTTCAAACTCAATTAGGACTTTTGATATATTAATCTGCAAACATCTGCAGTATTTGGGAAACTGCTCTGTAGTAGAAAAGTCCTCCAACATTTCCAAAGTCTGATAAATCAGCCAGATATCATAGTCTGGAAATGTTCCCCAGAACAGAGGACGTGCAGATAAAATATTGACAAGCTGAATATTTTAATAAGAACTTCCACCATTTTCAGTTCAGAAAAACATGTACTTTACTGTACTTTTTTCTGACCTTAAAAAATGTCAGACATTAGAACATCTGCTCTTTGCTTAAATGGGAATGATTTTATAATTTCTTGAATTTCTGTTGAAGTCCTTGTCTATATCAAACACACTATGACATGCTCATTTGTTTCTTTGTTCTAGTCAAAGAAATTTACAGGTCAGGTATCAAAGAAACATAATAATCCGGTTCAGCCCAGATTCAGCATATTTCTGGTTATAGCATCTTGAAGAAACTCATGGCTGCATATTATGAAAGGAGGTTTTAAGTGTAAGAGATGTGTGAAGCAAATTTGCATCGTCTGAACTTTCAAAATAATGTTTCATAGCCTTACCACATTAATTATTCTGGATTATTATTATTTTTTTTGCCTTGCATGAAATCACTTCTGATGACTCATGTTATGTACTGGCTTTTAGTTCATGTTGACCCAAAAGTTATTCCGTATGGCTGTTTAGTTGTTGTTATTGCTCTTTACTTACTTCATTGCACCACTGCCAAGTATTTTATCGCTGTTGCATCTAACTTGTGAAATACTTTGTGTGGCATGAGCTGTTTGAAATGCCCTTTATAAATAAATTTGGCATCGACATTAAAAGCTATTTAATTCCAATTGCTCTCATCTTACTTACAATAGATAAATTTTTTCTTGAGCAGCTTTGTGCATTTTTTTCGACATCAGTTCTTCTAAAGCGGCTTCCTCTTTACAGTGACAGAAGTGTTGTTTCCCCAGATATTTTTGTTAAACCATTTCTTATAAGGTTAGACCTTTAGCCATGCTGAAAGATACAAAGATTTAACTCATTTTTAAGCTCTGGATAGTGTAGTATTATCATCAAAAATGCAGTAAACAAAAGCATATGTTTGACCAAGAATGTTATTTAATGTATCTAACCTAATCTTATTATCTGCTTGCAGTTTCAGAAAAAAAAAAAGAAGAAGTGCCCTAGCACCAACGGCTTGCTGTTGGCTGAGGAACCTGCAGAACCTGTCCGGGCCTGCCAGAAACCACTGGCCCGCCGGAGTAAGACTTGTACTGTGCAATGGCTCTGTTGACCTTGCACAGGATCCCATCCATCTCCACCTCCCCTGTGAGTCTCTACCCATCTCCATGTTTACAGTCTCCTCAGATATTCAGTTGTTTACTTTATCTGCATATAGATCAGAGCGTGTGTGTGTGGGTGTGTGGGTGTGGGTGTGTGTGTGGAGGGAGGGGGTGGGGGGGCTTTGTGTTGGGGGGCAGATGAAAGAAAAAACAACCCCCTGAATGTGTCTCTTTGTGTATACCCCCACAAAGTTTGCCTAGAGGATGATGAGCCCTTTGTTTATTCATTAACCAGAGATTTGATTTTGCTGATAGATCTTACCTCAGGAAACATTAATAGAGGCAAATGAATAGCGTTATTTCTGTCTGAATGCTTTTTTGAAGCTGTTAAACACATGCACATAATCATGTAAAGACATTATCATTGACTATTGTTTTTCCCTATCTTCTCTCTTTCACTCTCTGTCACACAGTCATGGAAATAATGTCAAAAGTCTGACTGTTCTGTTCTTTGTCATCGCCCACTAAACCATAAATGACTTAACTCTGGCTCCAAGTCTCATTCCTTGCATATTTTGTCACAGAGTCTAATCACCAATTATCTTAACTTGTTTTCTCCTTTTTTTTTCTTCTTCAACCCCTCCTCATCGTTCCCCTCCTGGCTCCTGCCCACTTCTCTTTAATTTTCTTTTCTTGACTCTGTCTGGACTTGTCAGTTGCGTAAAAGGTAACGTTACTGTCTCATGTTTCTTTCCATGTAAACTCGTTTTCTCCAGTGCTACTACTATTTCTCTCTTGTTTCTCACCCCTTCTCTTTTCTTGCTACATGTTTCATCTTTATATTTCTTCTTCTTCTATGATTTGGCTGTTTAGTTAAACCCCACCTCCAGCTTCCATTTTAACAACGTTTACGTATAAGTAACATGTTTCTCTTTAATGTTCACGATGGGAAAAAAAAAACAAAAAACAACAGAATTAGTGTAATATTTGTTTGCCTTTAATCAGAAAAATATGATGGGAGGTCACTTGAAGCAGTGTGCATCAATGTGTAATGTTTTTATATATGGTAACTATAAAAATGAGAATGCAGTATATGAAAATATGTATTGCAAGAACTAATATCTGTAAAAGACAGAAAAATGTTGGTGCATTCATTGCAATGGGCTCCGTC